TTCCATTCAGCTCTTTTACTTCATCACATCTTCCATTTGCTGTAGCGGCACTCCATTCAAGAACAAGTTTCAGAGTCTCTTCTGACATCCATTTTGGCCTTTTCTTCCTTTCCTGCCTTTTTAATGCCCTTTTGCTTTCTTTCTTCATGGATGATGTTCTTGATGTCATCTCACAATTCTTCTGGTCTCCGGCCACTGGTGTTCAATGCAGCAAATCTATTCTTCAGATGGTCTCTAAATTCAGGTGGGATATACTCAAGGGTGAATTTACTGGGGACAGGAAAATGAGAGCTCAGAGAAGTTGAGGAGAATGCCTGAGGTCGGGCTTTGAACATGGGAAGACGGCTCAAAACCTGTTGCATCTCAACCACACGGCTGATGGGCACGCAGTGCAGCCTGACGCTTTACAAGGGCAGCTTGGGACCAGGCTGCCTGCGTTGAATTCCCAGCTCTGCCCCTTGCTAGCTGCATAGTCAGGTCAAGAATTTGAATGTCCTTCAGTCTTCTCATCTGTAAATGAGAATATGTGTAACTGATAGGACCGTGGTGAGGAGTAAACAAATGAGCACCTGTGAAGCAGCTGGCACAGAGCGTGCAATGGTTCAGTAGGATGCTTGTTATACAAACCAAGTCATCATTGCTGGGAAGTCAAATGGGACGTGAAGAAAACCAAGAAACCAGACATCCCTAGCAGTCAACAGCCCATAGCTCTGCGTGCCAAATTGACTCCTCTCTCTCTTCCAGCTGGGAGCTCTGGTAGCGTAGTGCCTAAAGGCACTTGACTGCTCACCAGAAGGCTGGCGGTTCAAGCCCACCAGCCACTCCCCGGAAGGAAGATGGGGCAATCTACTTCCGTAGTGAGACTGCCTGGGAAGCCCCAGGAGGGTTCGCTGAGTCGGGGCCGACTCGACGGCAACAACGACGACTCTTCCAGCCAGCCGTTCAGCTGCCACGTACCTGCCCGATGCACACGACCACAGTGTAGCCCCCCGGGCCGACAGCCACGCACTTTGGTTGAACATCCAGCTTCACCACTCCTTGTCCGCTGACAGAGAGAGGAGAGAGAGCACACATGAGTTCAGGCTGCAGCGGCTCATGGAGGAATGACGTTCACACTTGCTGCAAAAACACAGCAACTCGGGAGATGCAGGAAGGCGGCGCTCTACCGTCACCTCTCCTGAAGGAACGAGTTGCTGTAATACCGGAAACCACAACCAAACACATCGCTGATGACTCACTTCCAACTCATGGCGGCCCCGTGTGTTGGGGCTCAATGCCCCACAGGGCTTCCTGGCCGCCATCTTTACAGAAGCAGCCTGCCAGGCCTTTCTTCCGTGGAGCCACTGGAGGCGAGGGTAAAAAGGGCCGACTCCACAGCAAACAGATCGTAAATCATGGGTGTGTGTGTGTACATGTGTGTGCATGCGTGCGTACACACGGGGGGGGGGGCCTAGGGTGGAGAGAAGCAGCAGCTGCGAGGAAGTGCTGGGAATGACTTCTCTTCCTGTCTATTTGTGGTGCATCCCTGATCCCCTGCTCCCGCCCCGTGACTGCGCTGAGCATAGAGCCCAGAATGGCCCCTGCAGTCGGTGGCCCCTGTGGAATGGCTGTCTGAAGGAGTCCTGACAGGACATGATTTCTTAGGGGGAGGTGTAGCTTGCTGGGCAGAGACCTCGGGCTCTCTGTCTACGAGGCTGCACTGAGCTGGCACGGCCGTGGGAAGATGCTCACTAGGGATCCGCTAATATAGACACCCTCTGGTAACAGAGGGTGTCCGTTCCTAAATGAGTCTTTCAGTTGAATTTGTAGGTGAGCCGAACAGGTGCAGACAGTTCTTACTTAGCCTCAGAGCAAAACCTCAGAGCAAAAACAGGCTGGAATGCGCTGCAATGATTTACAAGCTGCATGTGTGGCAAGTGAAGGGGACCATGAAGAACGCACTGCCAGGGAGGGCGGGTTCAGTTGTTTCAGAGGGAGGGGAAGTTTACGTTACCAGCAACTGCCTGTGTCAGGGGTGTGGTAGTTAAGTTCGTGTGTCAACTTGGCTGGGCAGCTGGATGTAGTTAGTGCCCACGATGGGACTGGTAATAAACTCCACGGTGAATCTACTGGAGCGGCTGAGTAGCTGCCTTGGGGGATGTGGTCCGCTTCCAGTATATCAGGACAAGCTTTGGGACTGTCTGCACCTTCTGGCACTCTGCACGTAGCTGGGTCATCATTTAGTAGCCCGTCACGCTTCCTGCTGACCTTGGGACTATCTCCGGACTTGAACTAGTGGCCTGCCATGTGGTTTGCTAATATTGGGACTGTGCCATTTTGTCTGTCAGCCTTGGGCTTATTAGCCTCAGCAGCCAGCAGCTGCTTGAGTAAAGAGATACCTCTAGCTCCAGTGGGTCAGGGGCAAGAAGCAGAGCTGAAGCCCAAGGATGAGGGGCCTTCACCCAGCCCCCAGAGCTTAGCACTTTGAACTCGGACTTGTGGCCTCCAAAACTGTTAAGAGAATAAACTCTTGTTTGTTAAAGCTGCTCATTTGTGGTGTTTTTTTCTGTCAGAGTGGCACCAGATAACCAAAACAAGGGGCCACTATAAGGCAGAAAAAGTCAGACCATGGCCCAGACACCTGGACTCCAGGCAGCTTCTGCTACATCTTGTGACGTGTGAGTCGCTCACAGACACTGAGTCGAAATTAGGCAAATGAGGCCCACATAGCAAACACACCCATCTTCTGTGAGCCGAGCAGTGGGGCCCAGTGAGAGTGACAAAGATGTCTCCAGGAGTTCCCCTATCTCTGAGGTATGACAGGATTCTGGCGGTCAGGAGGGGGGTCTGTACACAAAATATGGGATTGGGGGTGGGGCACTGGTGAGCTTATCTGGACCTTGGACCATGGCCCTGTCCCTCATCTTCACCCTTGCTTAAATTTTCAGATTATTTGCTAATTTCTGTTGTCCTCACTTCAAGGACTGCCAAGCAATGGCACTGAAGCAAAAGCCAGCAGCACCTTGTCTGGGAACCATAGAGGATGGCAGTGAGCTGGCACTGAGCCCTCACCATGGGCCAGGTGCCTCTCTGAGGGCACGAGGAACCAGCTGCCTTGGCCTCACACCCGTCCTGGGCCATGGTCTGTCTCCTTCCTTCCTTCCTGGTGAGGAAACTAAGACCAGGAGAGACACTGGGAGGGTGTACAGTCTGCACCTGCAGTGTGCGGCTCAACTAGAGCTCGGCGTGTGCCCAGGGCCTGGCAGAAAACAAAGGCCCCGTGCAGGGGTGAGATGCACACCACGTTACCAAGAATGGCTGCTGCCAGCCGGGCCCCGTGTGGCCCAGCCACAGGCAGTGCTCACCTGTAGTCCCGTAGCGTGAGGTTGGTGTACCGCACGGTGTCATCCATGCTGCAGCTGACAAGCTGCCCTGCCTCGTCCACCGTCATCCTGGACACCTGGTTCGTGTGGCCTTTCCCAGTGAAGGAGTCATTCTCCCCAGTCTCAGAATCCCAGTAATGTGGGGCGAGGGTTAAGGAAAAACCTTTCCTCTGGGGCCGCGGTACCTGCCCTAGTGGTGAGGCCCTTGCCAGGCCCAAGCTCCAGGCAGCTGAGAAAGACCAGGACACTGGGGGTAGGACAGTGAGCATGGCCTGAGAACCACTCTTCACAGACTGCTTGAAAGTCAGCAAGACGACCCAGCTCAAGTCAGCGGGCCAGCAGAACCCCACAATGAGTTCTCTAGTGCCCCAGGTCTCCCGGCTGCTCACAGAGCTTCAGTGACCTGCATGGATCACAGCACAGATCAGTGACCTTCCCCAGTGGGCCGGCCCGAGGGCAGCAGAACCACACCACCCTCAGAGCAGACGTTTCCCAGGCCAAGCTGTTTTCCACTAGGCTTCCTGGTGTAACTGAACCATCAGCCCCTTCGCTCTCGTGTAACCTGCTCTCCAGCCCTGAACGCCGCAGGCGACCGCTGCTCATGATGGCTGTCCCGATGATATAAGTGACAGCCTGGGGCTGACCTATATTCCAAGTGCCACTCTGGGGGGGGGGGTGGTGCAGACTTCAGGAATGGGACTGCTCCTTCTCACTTCACAGGTGGCTCTGCCATCCCTGCAGAAGCGAGAGCACGCTTCACTGTTCCCAGCACGGGATCCCAGCTGGCCCTGAAGGAGCACTACGGGAGTGCCAGGCCCCTGGTGCCCTGACACCAGGCTGGGGCTGGGCGGCAGGGAGAGGATGACCCGACACTGCACTGGTGGTTGGTTGGCAGGAGGTGCCCCGACACTGGGAAAGGGGTGTGCAGGGGAGTGGGCGGCACTCAGGTGGGGAGTGGGCGTGAGTGCAGGAGGCACTCATGTGCTGGGCCAGGGGGGAGGGGGATTCCAGTGCCTTCTCTGCCGCCAACTGGCACAGGGCCTTGGGCGAGGGGCACCCGCACATCTGCCTACTTTAAGGGGACCTGCAGAGGGCTTGCAGACGCACCACGAGGAAATGACCCAGCTGCTCCAGCCTCCCTCAGGGCCGCTGGGACCTCCGGCATCTGTGTCAACAGTGAAGTGCTGCTGAAACAAGCAGGGCTGCAGCGGGCAACACTTGGGGGCTCTTGGACAGCTGACCCAAGAGGGGTCTGTAGGAAGGCACAGCGGTGCCTAGGCTAGAAAGTGCTATGGGCAGAAGGGTGGCCTGTCTCACAGCACGACTGCTCACCTGCAGGGGGCAATGGACTCTGGCTGAGGCCCTGCCAGGGAACCAGGATGTGTGTGCACGTGTGTGCTGGCACACCTAGCCCCTGCAGACAGCTACACCAGTGTGGGCCGCGGACAGCTACACCGATGTGGGCGACAGTCCTGGGAGACAGTGCTGTCAGCACCAGGCCAGGCCACAAGGTGAGGCTCTGATAACTGCAGAGATGGGGGATTTGTAAGGGTCGCCTGCATCCCTGCAGGGCATGTCATCGGGGCCACAGGGAACCTGCTCAGGAGGCAGGAGACTCAGCTCTGCTGCCCACAAAGCCACGCACCTCTCTGGAAACCACTTAACCTCTCCGAGCTTCCCATCCTGCACGAGGACTCTAATCAAAGATCTCCACGGCTTTCTGAGTCTTAAGACTCACAAACTAACACTAGGACATCATCTGGACAAAGGAGGCGCCTTTCAGACAAGGAAGCAGTTGACAACAACACTCCAGACAGCACACGGTAGACGTCACTGATGACTGCAGCTGTCCTCAACCCAGGCCTAGGCTGATGGAGCCATGGATGGGGCCCCTGTGGGTCTCAGACACGTGACCTGGAGGGCGTGCAGCTGCAGCCAGTGCTGCCTGACCAGCCTCGCTCTGGCACCATGGGGAGAGGAAGTCACCACCTCCCCTGCCGGGGGCTCCAGGCCAGCTCTGTGAGTCAAAGGATATTGATGTGCCCGTCGTGGCTCCCGGAGTAGATGTAGGCCTTGCCACCATTTTTGTGCACCGTTAGACACTGGATAGACTTACTGTGCCCCTGGAAGGGAAAGACAGGGCAGGTGAGCTGAGGACTCTGCGTGTGCCCTTGCCACCGGGTGACCACCTTCCACCAGCTAAGCCTCTGGGGGACAGAGTAGAGAGAAGTCCCACGTCTGAGGGGTGCCGAGAGGCCACAGCCTGTTTCCCTGGCAACATTCTCCGGAGGCTGGGCTCAGCTCTCCCGTTGATCTGACCAAGCCCGTACACTGTCTGCTCCTCTGGCCAAAGCATCTAGCCCTGGCCTGGGTCACAGGTCTGTGTCAGTCTTTGTGGCCGGGGACCTGACCGACCCCTCACAGCCCCTGAAGGTGGAGCCCATGGCACAGGGCTCGGATTCACAAGCTAGTGAGGTGGTGGCAGCATTGAGATCAGGGCCTACCCACGAGGCACACAAAATTCAACCTCCTCTCTCAACTCCCCCGCCCCAGGCACAGTGTCTAAGGCCCCAACCCTCTCCTCCCTAGGCACACTGGGGACTCGTCGACAGCCTGACAGCATCCACTCTGGGAGGGTGGGACCCATCTATCTCCCTCCTATCGGCTCTCGGGCAGAGCAAGCTGCCACCTGCGATCACAGCTCCTCGCTCACTCGAGGCGGCCTCCTTCTGCTCGCTGTGAGAACATGAGCCAGCTGGCATGGCACAGCACAGGGCTTTCTCCCAGAACTTCCCAAGCATTCCACGGTGTTGTTTGTTGCCACAGTTACCTTCTAGAAAGGTACACACAGTACTCGGTGGGACTACAGTACCGGAGTGAACACATCATGGCATTCTACCTTTCCCAGGAAAGAGGCGGGGAGAAAATCGAGGTCTTCCAACCTGGAATCCCGATACCAGCTCCGTGTCCAGTGAGGTACCCTGCTGGTCTCGCCACTTAAGCTGAGGTCCTCAGACCAGCACCTGCCCCACTGGGCGTCTCAGACTCAGCCTTTGCAGCCCGTGAGGCCAGGGACTATGTGCACACCCCTATCTGAGGTGCACAGTCTGGAGCTGGTCACACACACAAGTCCCTGGGGTCTAGGGTGAACCCGTGACGGCCTCACGGTGGCTCTCATGCTGCTGGAGCATGAGCGCAGCTGCTATGGCCGCCATCAGAATCAGCTGGACACTGTCCACCGACACCCAAGCTCCACGCGCAGACGTGTGGCCTTCACGTCCCCTCCAGACACGCCCATCTGCAGACTCACCCCGACTGTACTGAGAACCTGGCGGGGTCAAGGACATGGGGCTATGACCCTCTATTCCCAGGGCCATGTAAGTACATCTCACAAAAACAGATGATGTGGGCGCCCCAAAGAGTCTCTGAGCAAACACTGTTCATGCCTAGTATCAGGGTGGACAAGGGCCCTGCAAGACACTTGTGTTAACAGCCAGACCCTGTGAATGGGACCTAGAGCTGGAGAAATCTCTACAGGTTACGGTCTTGAGATGAGTGTACCCTGAGTTACTGGGGTGGCCACCAATCCAACGAGGAGTGTCCTTATAAGAGACAGAAGACATGAAGACACAGATGTTTGACCACATGGAGAAAGCAACAGACTGGACTGACACACAGCCAGTAGGGGCGTCTGGGCCCAGCAGGGGCTGGGCGACACCAGGAAGGGCCGTCCCCAAGAGCCCTCTGCCCCACACACCCGTCTCTGGACTTGGGCCTCTGGCACTGGGACAGGATGAGTCCTGCTGCCGCAGGCCACCAGTTCATGGCCTCTGTGACGGCAGCCACAGGAACCTCAAACATCCTGGAGCGGGAGGAGGAGGAACAGCGGGCTGTGCACACTGAGGTCCCGAAGGCGCTAAGAGGCAGCAGGGCCTGCAGGGCTTGACCACTGCCTGCGGACCAGGTCACCGAGGAGAACAGCAGACACCTCCCAGAGCTACCAGGAGGATGGGGGACGGGCTTCTCGGGGCCCTCTGCCCGGCCTCAGGCACCAGACAGGGCGCAGGCTCACTGGTTTACAGTCCCCTGGGTGGTGTGAACGGGCAAGCACTCGGCTGCCAGCCAAAGGCTGGAGGTTCACGACTACCCAGGAGCACCTCAGGAGCAAAGCCCAGTGATCCACTCTCCAAACAACCTGCCACCGAAAACCCGCGGGGCGCGGCTCTGCTCTGACACCCCTGGGCTGCCGTGAGTCAGAGGCAACCCCACAGAACTGGCCTGGTTTTGGACCCGGGAGGAGTCCCCAGGTGATAGAAACCATTAACACGCACAGCTGCTGACAAAATGGTCGGAGGTGAGCCCACCCAGAGGTGCCTGGGGAAAAAAAGCCTGGTCATCCACTTGCCTGAAGCTCAGCCCCGGAAATCCCTGGAGCAGTTCTACGCAGACACAAGCATGGAGTCCCTGGGAACCTGTGGCGACGCCATGCCAACTGGGCCCCGGTTCTGCTCCCTCCCACAGGACCCTCCAGCAGGGCACCCCGGAGCTTGCCTGAGGAGCAGGTCCGGCGCCTGTGCTAACCCTGCAGGTGTGGAGCCTCGCAGAGGCGTGTGTCTGCACATCTCCACCGCAGCAGGGCAGGCCGTGTGAGGGAAGGGCCAGGCCTGGTGCCCAGGCGGCCTGAAAACGGCCTGAGAAGGCCAGCTGCCAGGAAGGTGCACGTGAAGCGGACCCTGACCCTGCGGACCCACTGCCCTGGAAAGCGTGACTCGGCGGCACCAAAGGGCACCTGCTGAGGCCACCAGAGCAGGGGGAGCCTGACCCCGAGCTTCTGGTCCAACAATGCCCCCTCCGGCTCCCAGCAGAGTCTGAAATGGGTGGTCCCACCAGAGCCGGGACTCAGGGCCCAAGAGGAGGCTTACGTCCCCTCCCCCACCAGAGGCAGGAAACAGGGCAGACCCCAGCAAGCATGTGGATGGAGCCGGCCCTGCCCAGTCGAAGAATCTTCCCCATCACTGCCCCAATCCCACTAGTTTGTTGGCCTCATTTCCCACAGTGCTTCCTGCCACAATCCCCTAAACCACCTGCCCCACCCCCCCGCAGTCCCCTAACCCTGGACCTCCCCCTCCTTCCTGCATTGCTTCCCTGCTCCCACCACACAGCACTCCCCGACCCTCAGTCTTATCCCCACAGCCAAAGCCCGGCTCAAAGGCGCCCGTCCTCCCCACCCTCGAGGCTCTCCACAAGGCCTCCCTCGGTACAGGACCCTCTCCTCTCCTTGGGATGCGTGACTCAGCCTCCGTCTTGTCTCTCGCTGTCCGGGGTCACCCCGGTTTCTACTAGCCTGGGGGCTCCTGGCTGCTCCCCACCAAGCCCCAGGCTCTGCACGTCCAGATCTGACAGCAGCTAAAGGGGCCTCAGCCTCCCGCCGCCTCCGCTACACGCACAGCCCCCAGAAGCACTGGCCTCCTGCCGCTCTCCCGGGCACCACCAGGCCCAGGGGGCGCACAGCAGCTCCACAGCTTGTCCTTGGCCTCCCCCAGCACCTCCCAGATGGGTCCCACGTGCACCTTCCCACGGACGCCCCCTCGCCCGCCGCCTGCTCACCTTGATGACACGCAGGGGCTTGCTGGGGTTGTTCCTGTCCAGGTAGTTGATGTAGCCGGAGAGCGAGACGCTGAGCAGGTGGTCCTTCTGCCACAAGCAGCCGAGCTGCTGGTCCAGAACGTTGGAGCCCATGGGAAATGTGCTAACGACGGAATTCACGGTGACGTCCCAGATCTTAGAGGTCTTGTCTCCGGAGGCAGAAAGCAAGTGGGTGCTATCGGGACTCCAGCTAATCTAGTAAACCAGAATGGCGTGTCCCGTCAGAGTGCTGGGGGGCAGTGACCCCAGAGAGCAGCTTGTCCACAGCCCCCACTTCCGAGGGGTGGAAATGGAAGCCCAGAGCAGTGAGGGGACGCTTCCAGGGTGGCAGCAGAACCAAAGCGCGGGCCTCCTATCCCCACGCGGCGCCCTCTGTGCTGCAGCCCCACAGCTCGGCAGCACGGTCCCTACTTCGACTCTCTAGCTCCAGGTCTATCTTCAGACTGAGCACCAGCGACTGCTAACAGCCAGAGCCCAGCCGCTCGTGGAGCCACACGGGCCAGACCCGTACTCACAGCATAAATTCCACCGTCGTGAGCCTTGCTTCCTCCCAGGGCGCACACCTTCTCTCCCGTCTTCCCGTCGTAGATGTAGATCTTTCCGGAAATGAGAACAGAGGGATCATGAGCATGTGAGCACCCGGGGCACTCAAGACTGTGAAACAAAAGTCCTCGTTGCTACCATTCTGCCATCAGCAAGAGAGCGCAGGACTAAGGCTCTTTTGAAAAGCTCACAGATTCAGACTGGAGTTCTACTGACAAGGAGAGATGGCTCCAGTCTGCTCTGCTTTTACTGGCACAGCCCGGAGCCCCACCAGCCTGGGGGAAAGAGAGCGCTGAGCTCTCGGGATCAAAACGGGCAGTCTGTCCGTCTGTTCTGAAACCAGGTCAGGAAACTGGGGAATGAGCAGCACCCAATCGCACCCCACCCTCAGTCCGTCCGGAACAGAGGGAGCCACTTTACCTGGCCATCAGCGCTGGCAGTGGCAAATCTGTTCCCGTCGGGAGAGAACCTCACACAGTTGACAAAGCGGCCGTGGTCCTGCAGGAAATGGGACGATTAGTGACCTGCCAACAGGCTGCAGCCCAGACACTGCAGTACAGGACACTTCTCTGTGAAGCCCACTTCAACACGCGACCCTCAGCCCCAGCAAAACCACTCACTGCACTTCAGAGCACACGCAGCTTCTGTGGAAGGAACCACGCTCGTTTGATTGTGCACTCAATGCTAGCTCCGACGCTCCCGTGATGGCCCGTCCAGGTGAACCGTACCCACTTTACACCTGGAGAAACCAGGCCTGGGAAGAGAAATCCACGCCCGGGGTCCACAGTGAGACCGCCACAGAGCCAGCAATCGAGGAGACCCCGTGACACCAAGCCCAGCACGCAGCCCGTCAGGAGGATGTCAGCAAGGAGATGGAGCCCACATCCCACGGGCTCACAAAATCTGGTCCAGGCACCAGGTCACCCAGCCTGCAGAGGACACGGGGGCACACCAGGCCGGGCTCCAAGACGAGGCGCTATGGCCCCCATGCCCTCAAGACAGAACCCTGGGCTTCCCCTCTCAGAGGTCTGACCCATGATGCAAGCAAGACACAACCAAAATGCCATTTCTGTCCAGTGGTTTCCCGTTTGCTCAATGATGTGGTTGGGTCTGATCCAGGCAGAGCCCAGACCAGCTGATAGTGACCTGCAGCAGAAGCAGGGAGGTAGGGTCCTCCCAACCTATGGACTAATCTAAAAAGACTGGCTCTAAGACGACAAAAGTTTGATTTGCCTCCTTGGTTTGGCAGTTTAGGGTCATGGTTTCATGGGACACCCAGTAAACAAGCCTAATACTGTGCTGAGTACTTCCATCTACTTCATTACGTAGTGCCTGAGGCCTTAAGGGTTGAAAGTGGCCATCCAAAGTATGACAGTGGCTTCTATTCACCTAGAGCGCCTGATGAAGCAGTCGGGACTGGGAGGAAGACAAGGAACGAATGGACGGTTGCCTCCCCTGCCTGGTTATCAGAAGGCCTGGATGGTGCCTGGCTACCATTAGTGAATGTTCTGATCAAAGATCATGTAGAACAATGCTGATCAAAAGGGGGTAAAATGAGAAACAGGATTTCAAATTCTGATGGAACCCAAACTTCCTGAATCCATGGAGGGTGGGCGAACCTCCAAAACTACTGTCCTGAAATCTTTAAACCTAAACTGAAAACATCCCCTGAAGTCTTCGAGGCAAACGCTACTTTAGCTTAACCAGAGAAGAGTGTCTGCCTGGAGTCTTGTACTTTTTCAAAATCTACCCTCATGGGGGCAAGCTAATGGCAACTCAAAGATTAGACAGGAAGCTCAGGGGGCAGTGAGTTTCCATCAGGGAGGGAGGAACAACTCAGAGAAGGTGAGAGCGGGCTGCACAACCTGAGAAACGGCAGCGTGTCACGGAACTGTGCCCGCAGAAACCGCTGCACTGGTATCTATGTTCTGCTGTGTGTGTTCTCAAAACAACAAGTACTAAAACTGTGAAAAAGATGATGAAAACCTGAGAAATGTGAATATCCCGACTATGTGGCATTTCTATAAATTAACTGATCAGTGTGCATTGGGGCTAATACTAGAACAGGGGCAGGGGTGGTTCAGAGGTTGAATTCTCGCCTTCCGTGTGAGAGGCCTGGGTTCAATCCCCGGCCCGTTCACCTCCCGCACAGCCCCATCCATCCGTCGGTGGAGGCTTGCACGTT